CAATTTCTTAATAACTTTAAAACATACCTCTTCCAAGTCTTCTTCATCAATTACTTCATCCCCATCCACTTCACCTTCTCCTTCTTCTGCCTCTTCTTTCTTTTCTCCTTCTTCATCACTTTCTTTAGTATGTTCTAGAGACTCCAATTCCTATATGAATATGTAATATATTTGTTTTTCCCCAAATGACAAAATTTAAAAAATAATCAAAAACACTACTTATACATAGAAAAGGAAGTACACCAATAAGGGAAACAACATATTCAAAATTAGTCATAAACCATAAAATATCAAAATCATTTATTTAGATTAACTTTTAAACTCAATAATACTCTAAGATTAGGCACAAACTGCTAAAACTCCAAAGTACTAAAATTTCACCATGTGGAAATTAAGCTCGAGTTCTAGAAAAACAAACTCAAAAACACTGTCAGAGATAAGAAGCACACTGAACATGATCTAAATATTATACATTGCAGCAAGAGAGAGAGAATTAGTTTGAAGACAACTGAATGACAACTGTCAAGCAGTTTAGAGTGATCCCATAACAATACTGGGAAATGATAAATGAAATATTGACATTTTTTAAAGGCCAAACAACAATTTCAATAAAAATTTGTCACAAGTGACAAATTTCTTGAAGACAATATAGAATATATCATCTGAAAAAATTAAATTAAAGAAAATGATTCTTTAAATTTAAAATTTCAGTAGTCTGAGAATCCATATCTAAATATTAAAATAGTGTACATGAGTAAAAAGAAGATAAAAATATAACAACATTAAAATAATATATTATTTAAAAAAGATTGGAGTAAACCTACTCATAAATGAACATAATATAATAGAAACAAAACTGGTACTTCACAGGAATTGAAATAAAAATATCCCAATAGTCTCCATCTAAAAGTTGAATAGTCTTGATAAAAATTATCAAATCACATTCAAAGACCAAATAAAATATAATAATTTTTTTACAGCCAGAAGGAAGTTTAAGATCAAGTGGCCTAACACTTGTAATTTTCTCCAGTTTCACACATCTGAGTGGTATAAAGCATGACTCAGGCTATAGTAGATAAATTACTGATTATTCAGTTAGTCAATGAATTATTTAGAGAGATTTGGCTAACCAGTGAATAATGTAAATTGTATAAGTCACTGTTTGGCAGTAAGTTAATCTAGTTCAGTTAGGTAAATTTTGAGTTGTGTTTCTAATACAAAATATAAAAATTACCATATATATATATATGAGAAAATTAGCAAATAAGTGATATTATGTTAGGCCTAAAACTGTGTAGCTTGTAAAATTTCTAATCACAGAAACAAAACACTTTCCTTATCATTAAGTAGGCTGGTCTTTGCATTCTTCTTTTTACTAAATAATCCAGAAGAATCCTCCCAACTACAGAACCCTTACAACAGTTTGTAGTCAGCTGTTTGAATAATGTGAAGAACTGAAAATAAATAACTATGTAAAAACAAAGTTTAAAATACTTGTCAAGAGTTACAAATATGATGTTTCTTAATGAAAGAAGCATGTCACTATTGCTTGGAGAACAAATGTCTTATCACAAACCAAGATACTTGAAAAGTTAATGTCAAGATAGTCTTATTATAAGTGTAAAAACATTTTTAAATAAAAAACTAGGAAGTAGGAATTGGAACTTTTTGTCAATACACACCACAAACCACAATAAGAATGAATGTGACACTCGATAGTAACCCAAATTAGCTATAGGGTCACAATCCTATTATTTGGAACAGACCTATATTTTACAGAACCAACCAAATATTTTAAAATATATGGTGATAGTTTTTCTCTCTAAAACAGTGTTAGTAACTTCCTTTATAGTAATGTCATGAAAACTAGATTAACAGTTAACTGTCATCATCTGCATGCAATTGGCACAGATGTATCAAGATGAAGCTAAATACCCATTAATTAGGAGAATTTCAAAAAGTTTAGCAATGAATAATAACCATCCACCTATATGATTCTTTCAAAAACTTAGCTACAAACTGCTAATCTAGTTTGTTTGGCCTAACTAATACATACTTATCTGCACGTCTTTAACATGAATGCCAAAAAACTACAAAAAGTCAATCCTTTACTCTTAGGTGATGCTGTGGTAAATATTTCAGACTTATAGCTAATGTGACATTTTGCATAGGTGTGCACAAAAATTTTGGTTAACATTGAGCAGTTTTGTTTGAATAACTTTGCTCATGTGGCTTATATTTATATCAAATGTGACACCTAATTGTAGGTTGTAAAGATCTAAGTCCATGAAAGTTAAATATGTTTTTCTATCAATTAAAGTTTCAGTACTTTCAGTGTGAAGAAAAAAAGGAAGATATTAAATCAAAATTTGTATTTTTTAATGGATTGCTTTGAAATTTGGTGTGTCAAGTAAAAGTCAAGTAGAGCACATCCAATGAAAATACTAGATAGTTTGGATTACCTCAGTCAGAGATACAGAAGGTAGAAAATTGCTAAACTATAACTCCTGTTAATAACACACAGTGTGTCCTGCAGCAGGTTGTTTTGGCCACACTTATACATTTTCCTTATTTCAACTGCAATTTCATCATTACTTGTGCTTTTACCATTCATCTTATCCATTGTCCTCTCTGATAAAGATCAGAATGTATTAACTGAGTCAATGCTAATCATTTATGTTAATTTGAACTATTTATCTTTCAAAACCCTTCAAAATAATTTCTATAGTTTCCTATTATCCTACCAAAAAAATTATTATTTCAATTTAATTTATCATTGTTTTGTTTTCATTCAGATATAAATTATAATTTGTAACACACACAAAAGATTTGTGATGTAAAATTAAGTCTTTTAACTTTGTGGGTTGTGTTGCAGTACATCAGTTTTAAAAATGAATTATATGCAAATTGAAAAAAGTGAATAAATTTAAAAAAACTGAGAGCTATAATAAAATTGAGTGAATTTATACATGTATAACCATTACCCTATATACAAGAAAACACACAATGATAGTTCTATATTTTGGAAATTCACACAAAGCTATGCAAGATTGTTTATGCTAGCTGTCACTAATTTTGAACTGATAAACTAGTGGGAATACAGTTAGACAAAAGAATTCACCACTAATTCTTGGGCTACTCTAATCGAAGAATGAAATGTGACCATCAGTTTTATAATGCACCTGTAACCCAGGGCCAAAAAATGTAATGCACATTTTTACAGCAACAAGACCCAAATCATGGGCCCTCAGTTTCACAGACGAATACTTTAAAAAATACGTTATGCCTTTATTTGTACTATTTAAAGCAGTTTACGTTGAGAATTTGTACATCCTAACTACAAGTTTTTGCTCACTTCAATAGTGTACTAATTATACACAAAAAAACTTCATAACATTTACTTCATCTATGTTATTTAAGTTCAGTACTGATCTTCGATTATCTATATGTATATTTTCTCAGATTACTTGTGAACTACAGAAAAACCAGAGAATTTCAAATTTATTATACATGAAAGTAGTTCAAGAAATGTGAATGCATGCAACTTTTGTGGTATCTTAGCTACAACTTTAACTAACATAGTGAATTCTGGGTAGAAGAAAACAGAAATGTAGTGAGAAATCAAACATAACAACTTTACTTAAACAGTTTTGTTGAACATAGTTGCTTTTTACAAATCTTGGTTCTAAGACCTAATTTTTTCAAAAAGTAAGATTGAAAAACCTGTGCATAAGTAGGAAATTTCAATTTCAAAAAATCTTTTATACTCATTATACGGTAATTTTAACTAGCTCCAAGTCAAAAATAGATTAAGAAGAATACTAACAAAAGCTATAGGTGTTTGATGTCTGCCAATAATTAAACTTGAGGCTCGGGATTTTTTTGTTTTTTTGTAGGTTTTTCATTTTCGTTGTTGTAGTCTGATGAATCATTTGAGTAGGGCACTGGCTACCTAATCTTATATTCAACCAGTTCTTTGTGCTAAGTGTCATTTACTGGATTCAATGCTTATGAATGTAGAATGCTTAGTCAACATTGATTAAGAGCAGACATATTGTGGCAGTGCTTCTTCTAAAAATGTACATGTATTATGAATAAGAGCACAATTAATGTAAAGTGATGACATGAAACTTTGTTGAGATTGACTGGCTTGCTCAACCAGCCAGCTAATTAAAACCACTGATAAAAATTAAAAAAAAGACACAAACTCCAAGTGTTCAACTTAATGATAAGGCAACTGTTCCTCTGTCTCAAAATCAGTTTTGTGGTATGCCTTCCCCAACTCTTTTGCACTATTCTCTTGGCCAAGGAAAAAGGTATGAAAGCATTCTTTTACTATTACTAGTAAAACCTACAATTCATTTTAAGATTAACCTTTTCATTGCGGCTGGGCCACAGTGAAAGGGTTAAAAGTAATTTACATACCTCAAGTCTACTGTTTACATCAACATTTATTCTTTGTTTCTTGCAGCTAGGTTTGTTACCAACTTGTGACAGTTTCCTTTTTGGTGCCTTTAATTTCAGCTCATCTGGAAACCTTTTCCAGTCTGAAATAAGCATACAAGTTATACAAGAAAATAGCTATTCATTTGTACTTCAGCTGCTAAACACTTAGTGTCATTTAAAATATTTTTAGGTTTTAAATGTGGAAGCTTTCTTTTTTAGAACTTTGTTACTGTCCTAATGTTTTTAAACAAAGTTTCAAGCTAAGACTATCGTGTATCAGTATGATAAAGCAAAGGTTCAAATAAAATAAAATAAAAACAAATTGTTCTGGAATATCCATGATAAAAAGAAGCTGATGAGTTGCTAATAATAAACGAACTTTCAAGTAATTGTCTATCCATAACTCACAAACAGGCACTGAAAAATATTATATAGTTGAAAAAAGAAGAAAATTATAAAATTTTCTAGAAATGCACATAAAAATTAACAGAATGAAATATCTAAACCAGAACTTACGAGTGAAAGAAACGAAGAATATGTAATAACATACCAAACACACTGCATCTGCCATATCCAATGCTAGTGATGCCTATTGCCCATAAATTGAACTAATGTTATATATATATAAGTTATATATTGCTCACAAAGATAACAGTTAGCACTCTAAATGTGTGAAATGCTTTTAAAATACAAAATAAGTTAGTTGCACTTTATTCTGGGCATGTTTTCTAGCAGAAACTTTCAAAAGTCTCTATAACTAAAATATTTTGCTTGTATACACTTCGTATTATATGTGTATAAGAACTTTTATTTGTTGCCAATTTAAAAGTTTTTACATATATATATATATATAT